GTCGCTGCTGGCGTGGGCAGAGGTAGGAGAGGTGGGGAAAGGTCATTGCTCCCTAAAGAGCAGCGAGGGTTTGGAGGCTGAGCCGTATTATGTGACTCCTCTGCTGTGGGATCCATAAAATGCCAGCAGCGGAGCCGTGACGACCGGTCGGTGTGCGTGGTGAGGGAGGGAGGCAGGGAGATGGTGTTGGGCAGAGCCACGGTGCTTTGCTGCCACCAAGGTGAGTCATGGCTCTGGGACCCGGGAGGTGAATCCAGGCTGCTTGCAGCCCCAAAACATGCTTCTTTTCATGCAGAACAAACACAGAGACACTAAATAAGAGAAAATAAAGATTGCACAGTTTGAACCTGCAGATCTTGAAATAAGAATGAGCTCCAACCTCTGTTGCATTTTCCTCAACTTTTCTCTGTATCCGTTGGCTTTTTGCTGCACTGCCTATGTGGAAATATTCACACTACAATTTCCACTTGTGGACATGAAGAAAGTTACTCCTCTGCCTCCCCTGGACATCTTCATCTGCGCATGAATGAGAGGATGCACCTCTCACTGCATCTGCTACCCCAGTAATACTTCTAGCCTCGCAGATCCCCAAGCAACATATAAACTGGAGCCTTTTGCTCTGCGTAACTTCTGGCTTGCTTTTTGTTGAGTCATCCTAGGGACAAGCCAAGAGATTGTTTATGCCAGCACACAGTGGTATTTCGGTCCACCTCTGTGTGAGTGATGGCTGGCATTGCCGACGGAGCTGTACAGGACGTACCCATCTCTCCTCCCCGGAAGATAAAATTGACAGACGAGCCGGCAGGACCCACCGGTACATCCGAGCATGGATTGCTTTTTCTTTTTTGGTGTTTAATCTCCACCTATAAACTTTCTCCTTCAGGATCCACATACAAAGTGGGCTTGTAAGTCGGGTGAAGACGTGACGGTAACTTGGCAGTGCGAGGTGTGAATATCTTTGATGCCAGAATTCAGTCGACCTAACTATAAGGACGTGCTGCTGGTAGCTGTGTTAGTGTGGCAACTTTTCTAGTTTCTTTTCTAGGTGTAGGAGAGAGGCTTCTCCTGAGACAGACTGGAGATTGAAAGTGCCAGGTCAAACCTGGGATTAGGTTGTTGCTGTGACACCTGAAGCAAGGGCCTGAAGTTGGGTGAGGTGAAGAATGCCTGGAGAGCAGACTGGAGGTGGGAACTGACTGCCCCATAACAGGCAGAAAATACCCTCCAGAGCAGAGGGATCTATTCCTGAAAGGCTGACTGCGAGCACATGCTGGGGGAGAGGAGAACAGGGCAAGGCGGTATTTATCTTCAAGAGGGTTGTTGTGGAAGAAAGCGGTGGAGACAGGAGAGGGCACCAGGTGTAAGGAGCATCCCAGAGTGAAGACAGTGCAAGCAGCCAGTTGGTAGGAGGGTTTGGGGCTGTAGCACAGCCTGTGCTGGTGTTGGTGCTAAAGAAGAGGCAAAACGGGCAGCCAGAGAGCAGCTGGTGGCAAAGCAAAGAGGCAGGGGGAGAGGATAACATAGAGTAAATGCTCAACGTTATTACATGTCGTTTTCTGAACGTTGATGGCATCCAGATGTTTTCCCTCTGGTGCCAACAGGACTCCTGCACGTGCTGTCCTGTTCTGCCTACGCGAGCGGCGTTACCCCAGCCAGCCCTGACTGCACCTCTTTTTGCTGGGATTATAAACCCTTTTTACTTTAGAGCTTCTCCTTTCTCTGAAGATGAGCAAAGCTGTGCAGAGGTTTGAGGTTGAAAAGGGATGGTCACCGAAGACAGCGAGGGTGCAGTGGAGATGCAAAAAGAAAAGGAGAGTAAAGGACGGACGCATTTGAAGTTGCTCAGCTCAGACTCAAAGCATGAATAATGTTTCCCATTTTGAAACAAGCAGCCTCTGAATCTGTTCCCTTCCTGTCCAGACAGCCGTCGGGAGGAATGTAGGGCAGGCATAACAAGCACGCTGTGCAGACATGCCGCAGCGTTCCTGAGCCAGCAGTGGAGGCAGGCAGCTGGGAGCCGGCTCGCGGGGACGCCTGGGCTTGCCGGTAACAAGGACCAGTATTGCCAGTGCAAGGCAGGGCCAGTAGGCAAAAAAAGTCACGCATCTGGGAGGGAAAG